CACATAGACAGGATAATATCCACCACAGTTTTATAAAACTTTTATGACTGCTGCATACAAACTTAGTTACTTCTATGCAGTTGAAACAGACTATTAATTGAATTGTATAAAGAAAGGATATTGGGAGTGAGATGAAAACCTAATAAATTACCAACCTCTCATCTAAAACACTAGCAACAGTGTAAATCGCGTCTGTTATAAAAAATACACAAATAAAAGTGCTATTAAATCTATGAAAACAAGAAAAGTTTCTGATACAGATGGTTATCCCACTGAGGGATTGAAGTCTTTGCTCAAACTGAAGGTCTGTAATGATGCCTTTTTAAATAGTCTTTCCAGTGTCCTTCAGCAATGCTTATATAATTAATTTTGAAAGTTGGTAAAGATCCTGATGTTTGTATAAGTTAGTATCCAATCACCCTGTTAAATATTGATGGCAAAATATTGACAGTAACTCTGGCATGTAGACTACAGAGGATGCTATATTTAATTATCCATCCTGCACAATCTGGCTTGGAAGCCTTTTATAATACTAGATTATTAATTGGTATTCTAGATGCACATTCAGAAAACTTAAAAGGAGTGGCGGTCTCTTTGATTGCAGACAAGGCCTTTGATACAGTTCAGGGGAGGTTTTTTTTTAATGAATAAATATGGAATTCCTTCATGTTGTCAATTGGATAAATATATGTTACTCTATTGCTAGGGATATTACAAATGGACTTATTTCTTCATCTGTTAATGTACTTTATTAACTTTTTAAAAAGTCTTTTATTGCCTTTTTATTTTGGAACCATTGGCTAGTCTTATTAACCATTTGCAATAAATTTTAATAGCATACAGAATGTAACAATATTGTTCAAAATAGCTGTAAAATAATGAGTGGGAGTACCAGAAATCAAGTAATGTTTACCGCTGGAGCAGTCTTCCCCTATGCCCAAATCAACCGATATTTCTGAATAATAAGTGAGAGCTAACTAAATTAAAGCAGTGTTTTCCATTATGGGAACTATCTTCCTCTTAGCCCAAATTAAAAACAAACATCCAAACAATGTTAAAGAGAGTTAACTAGCACAAAGCATTATTTTGTTTTGGTTTCTTGCTCAAATCTTTCAGAGGCTCCTTCCAGTTGCAAATGCCAGGCACTGCTGTGCTGAGATGTTCAGTTCCCTTGCTCAGTGTATGAAGCTGGAAACTGACTGTTCAGACCTTCTTCTCTGCTCTTCTTTCTCTCATGCAGGCTCTTTCCTCATTTAGAAAGAAGAGTCATGTTCTATTTAAATTACTTTTGTGTTCCACTGGTTGAAAAACTCTCCCTTAGAATATACCGGTTATGCAAAAGTCTATAGCAGTGTGAAAAATGTGAACTAAGTAATCCCTTGGAATGTCAAACATAAAAAGTTTTGAAGTATTGGAGTGTCTAACTTCAAAACTCTGCTCTTAAGCCTCAGGTGAAGTGATGTTTGCAGTATAATGAATATGGAGAACCTCTGAATTTGTTTTAGTTTTCATTGCCTGAACTGTGGTGACATTTCAACAACATTTACTGCAAAGTAACCCTGAGCCCTTTCTAGTACTAGTACTAAATGCGAATGCAAGGAGAAAGAAGGACTCCCAATTCTGAAAGGTTAGAATGATTATAGAGCATAAACCTTGCACCTTTTCTTTCTCTGTTTAATTTTCTATTATTAGAAAAGTGCTGTTCAAATAAGTCACAGGAAAGACATACTAATTATAGCTGGTTTGGAAGTATTAAATGACTATCAAGAACCCTTCCAGCCAAAGAAGAAAGAAGCCAAATTTTAAAAAAGCAAATCCAATTTCTAATCCAGAGATGGAGAAATGCCATAGATCTGTTTTACATATACAGTGGGGCAAAAAAATATTTAGTCAGCCACCAATTGTGCAAGTTCTCCCACTTAAAAAGATGAGAGAGGCCTGTAATTTTCATCATAGGTATACCTCAACTATGAGAGACAAAATGGGGGGAAAAATCCAGAAAATCACATTGTCTGATTTTTAAAGAATTTATTTGCAAATCATCCAAATACTTATTTTCCACCATGATTTGCAAATAAATTCTTTAAAAATCAGACAATGTGATTTTCTGGATTTTTCCCCCCATTTTGTCTCTCATAGTTGAGGTATACCTATGATGAAAATTACAGGCCTCTCTCATCTTTTTAAGTGGGAGAACTTACACAATTGGTGGCTGACTAAATACTTTTTTGCCCCACTGTAGGAAGCAGCATTTTTACACATGATTTGCAAATAAATTCTTTAAAAATCAGACAATGTGATTTTCTGGATTTTTCCCCCCATTTTGTCTCTCATAGTTGAGGTATACCTATGATGAAAATTACAGGCCTCTCTCATCTTTTTAAGTGGGAGAACTTACACAATTGGTGGCTGACTAAATACTTTTTTGCCCCACTGTAGGAAGCAGCATTTTTACACATGATTTGCAAATAAATTCTTTAAAAATCAGACAATGTGATTTTCTGGATTTTTCCCCCCATTTTGTCTCTCATAGTTGAGGTATACCTATGATGAAAATTACAGGCCTCTCTCATCTTTTTAAGTGGGAGAACTTACACAATTGGTGGCTGACTAAATACTTTTTTGCCCCACTGTAGGAAGCAGCATTTTTACACATGATTTGCAAATAAATTCTTTAAAAATCAGACAATGTGATTTTCTGGATTTTTCCCCCCATTTTGTCTCTCATAGTTGAGGTATACCTATGATGAAAATTACAGGCCTCTCTCATCTTTTTAAGTGGGAGAACTTACACAATTGGTGGCTGACTAAATACTTTTTTGCCCCACTGTAGGAAGCAGCATTTTTACACATGATTTGCAAATAAATTCTTTAAAAATCAGACAATGTGATTTTCTGGATTTTTCCCCCCATTTTGTCTCTCATAGTTGAGGTATACCTATGATGAAAATTACAGGCCTCTCTCATCTTTTTAAGTGGGAGAACTTACACAATTGGTGGCTGACTAAATACTTTTTTGCCCCACTGTAGGAAGCAGCATTTTTACACATGATTTGCAAATAAATTCTTTAAAAATCAGACAATGTGATTTTCTGGATTTTTCCCCCCATTTTGTCTCTCATAGTTGAGGTATACCTATGATGAAAATTACAGGCCTCTCTCATCTTTTTAAGTGGGAGAACTTACACAATTGGTGGCTGACTAAATACTTTTTTGCCCCACTGTAGGAAGCAGCATTTTTACATACAGGAAGATCACAAATTGGCTTTTTAGTTAACAAAATAATCTTGAATGGCAAGAGGCGGAAAATAAATTTACTTTGATTCTACAAAAATCTGCCTGTTTATATAAATAGCATTTGGCAAAACAGACAGTGGTCTTATTCATTGTAATTCATCTTTATTCTTATATCCAAAATATATCATCAGCCCTAGTTGTTGATTTCAGCAAAATATATACATGATCCTGTATTTCTGTTTCTGTAAATAAACAGAAAAGTTGGAAAATATGAGTTAAAACTTCACTCAGGAATGGAGGTAGAGTAGATAGACCATCAAATCCAACTCTTTGCTCAAGGTAGGAAACCCAGAAAAATATTTAAACATTTTGCCACTTCTGTGTATTGTATCAAGATATATGAATGGTTCCCACTATAATTAGAAATGGTGTGCTACCTTAATCAGCTCTTTTTTGCTTTGTCTAAAAGAGGAGTTAACCAACGTTCTGTAGTAAATACAGTTGTTTGACATATCTAATTGGTGCCATAATAGTAATCACAAGCATTAGAATTAGCTTAGGAAAAGTAAGATATATTTTTCTTCTGAAACACCACTACATAAACAATGTGTTTGTTTGAGAGAAAGCTTTTTCATTATTTTAATCTTCAAGGCAAGTTATAATCCCATAAACAATAGTATAAATTATTGTTGCCATTAAGACAAATCATAGAGAAGGCTTAAAATGTGTAAAATAATTTTTTAAAAAACCTTTAAAAAGGAACACTTTAAAAGTAATTAAAAGACCAGGTGAACAGAATATACTTGATTTGGCATCTAAGGGCCAAACATCACATACTTAATTTTTTTTTTAAATGATTCACTTGTCTAATTTTAAAGAAAAATCTGCCTTGAGTCTGTGATCCAGTTTCCTGCTGATTTCTAGTCACTACTTGCTTCCAAGGGTGCTGGAGGGAAATCATAGTAGCCAGGGAAATACTTTTTGATATAATAGGTTTTGTATGAAGGTAAGCAAATATAGTTATGGAGTGAGCTCTCTAATCAGGGCACAAGATCGGTTTTATTCAGACGACACAAGCTCTTACGATGCTATCTTGTATAAATATTACAACTGTGGATAGAACTGCTCATCTAGCTCTGACTTGAATGGAAAAGATCCCTCTGATAGGCCTTGTGCATAGATGTAATCTTGTTTGCATTTCCCAGCCATATGACAGAGAATAGTAGACAATCAGCTTGTATTTTAAAGAAACTGTAGAACCAGACATTTTGTGTATATTGTATGGATAGGACAATAGAGAGAGATCACTGGTGGAAAACAAAAGAGAAAGGGAGGATTTTCCTGGTGTTTGTCATAACCACTTGAGTGATCACTGTGTACTTATGTATCTAGAGAACATGGAAGAGACAATTTTTCTATTAAGGAATTGCACATTCAACATATGTCTGCTTCTCCTGATTTTATCAAGCCATCTTTATTTTCTGTTTTTATTGCTTGTAGTTTTTGTGTAGATGGGGTTACATAAGCTGCTGAGAGTCTCTGGATTGCAGGGAGGTAGAAATTTAGAAAATAAATAACTAAATATGTCAATCAGCCTCCTCAACTTGAGTATCCTAGGGTGCATGGTCAATGCTGAAAATTCTATATGTTAAATCAATACATCTGAGAATGCTTTGGTTGCAGAAGACTGATATAAATATTCAGATACTTTGATTTATGTCTGCATATCTTTGTGTTTTCTTTTCTTTTTCCTTTTCCTCCAGAATTGTCTTCAATGTCTTTTGAGGAACTGTTACAAATGAGGAACCAAGTTGGGATGAAGGCTTATCAGCAGATGACATCTAAGAAAAGAGCACCAGATGTCACAAAAACAAAGAAGAGGCAGTGTTTGAGCAAAAACAGGTAAACGCAATTTCGACTATGTATCTCCAAAGTCTCCTCTTTACTGTGAAGTCTATAATACTGTACATGCTGACTTGAGCCTAAGCTGTGTTGAACATACTTGGGATTGCATTGTATATCATGTTTCTGCTTAGTGCAGAGCTTAGGAATTTTAAATGTACAGTACTGTGCAAAAGTTTTAGGCAGTGTGAAAAAATGCTGTAAAGTAAGAATGCTTTCAAAAATATATATTGTAATTGTTTATG